ATGTATGTATGTATGTATGTATGTATGTATGTATGTATGTATGTATGTATGTATGTATGTATGTATGTATGTATGTATGTATGTATGTATGTATGTGTGTATGTATGTATGTATGTATGTATGTATGTATGTTTACCCGGTCAAGCGTCTCTCGGTCAAATGATCTTCTACAAATTTCGTGCTTGCAAACTTCTGTAATATGTTACTGAAAGCGTTATACATTCTACCACTACTATAATATGTATTATATACACTCACACATACACATACATCCATACGACGTAATACATAGGTACATACGCACATATGCAACCGTACAACACACATCCTACTAAATATTACTGTGCACAAGCCGGCTGGAAAGTGTAGGACGCTGCGTTTGTGAATGTAAATTTACCCGACAAATTGAATTTTTTGGTATCGACATTGGTGGATTGGTCGACATCAAGACATCGTACTTTCAGTTATTCCTCTAATACTTCCTAGTAACTTTCATATCTTACCTGTCATACTTTGAATGCCTCATTTCTTACTAGGAGCAAAGCTAAGAGCTAAACAAAAAGGCAAATGCGCAACCTGGAAGGTTTCGAATAATACTGCTATGTTTGGATTTTAGCTACCTCTTGATTGTGCTCTCCACTTGTGCTCTCTGCAGTACAAGCGCTTGTTTTTAGAATAGGACTCGCAATCGCTGAACGCCTTGGTTTGGAAGGTGCAGCTGTTGTCATATGCAGCCGCAATAAGAAGAATGTTGACGACGCCGTCCAGTATTTGAAATCTAAAGGAGTCTCAAAGGTTCACTACATGAAGCACAGATTAATATATTTGATCGAAACATCTCATCGCCATAAGGTACAATCGAGTTTCAGGTAGATGGACTTGCAGTACACGTAGCAAATGTTGAGCATCAAAAAAATCTCATCGACTATGTAGGTTTACGCTAGTCTTGTGGAAAAAAAGTAAATCCTGTCTTCATCCGTAAATGATCACCAAAACATCTAGGAACAACCACCAATTTCAGACCATTGCAAAATATAGTAAAATCGACATTTTGATCAACAATCATGGAATCAACCCGGCATTTGGCCACATACTTGGTGTGTTCTTAGTGGACATGGTTTAATTTCTTTGTATTGACGTGGAGATATTTGTGAAGGAAAGTTTGGTAGAGAGCCAAGTTTAGTTTTCATTCACTTTTTACATCTTTTATCTGTATTTGATCAAGTTTAGATGTGGAGGATAGTATATGGGACAAGTTGTTCGAGGTCAATGTGAAATCTGGTTGGCAGCTGACAAAGTTGGTTCACCCGCACATGGTGAAGAACGGGTACATGTTATATCGTTTTCTCTATATTTTCTTTGATGTTTGTATCACATTTATGTGATGTCAAAATGCCAATGACAAGACAGAAGATGAGTTTGTAAAACAGAGGCATTATTGCCAATCAAATTTCGGCCGAAAAGGGTTTGGTGCAGTGATTTTGTAATTCTACCCCTATATCAGCCGTGTTATAGTTAATCTTAAGTGGTTTTATCTGGAAAAAAGGTATTGAGATATGGAGGGTGGTTGTGATTACAGCGCGCGCTCACGTACATAACAAATTTTTCCTGAGTTCATAACAATTCGTTCGCTTCCTTCTATTTCACAAGGTAAAATAAATTATTACCTTCTTAATGATACTGAACTTTTGGTAGATTTTGACAATGTAACCGTCACCACCCCGTGAATCAATCGTCGCTTTGCATTTGCAAACACTTTTATCTTCAGACGAATTAGCGTAACAAGGCACGTGGTACATTTCACCATAAGACGCTTCCGAGAGTTGGGAACAATTGCAGATAAGAGTGGTAATTCTGAGAGGTTATAGTTAGAGGAAGTGTCAAGAAAGCAGGGCAAAGGACTACGTAGGAGCAAAATTCATTCTGAGTCCAAAAAGGATAAATGAATGGATATGTCACGAAATTTTCTGCGTGAAATCGTGAAGCATCCCCTGCACAACGAGACCGTTATACGATCAGAAAGTGACCCCCCAGTGAGCAGGCTAAAGAGAAGAGAAAGGTTGGCTCACAAAAGCTGCCAAGCCGCATCCGAAAAAATTGTCATAGGGAATTCCTTTTCACCGACGAAAAGATATTCACGGTGAAAAAGGTGCTCTATAAGCAGTGCGACAAGATTTGTATTGAACCGAAAGAAATGGAAGTGATGCAGTGCTAGGTTCACTGATTTCCTGCGATGGCTTTTGCGAGCGTGACCGCCAAGGCAAGAACACCGATTATTTTTGTAAATTAAAGAGAGAAAGTTGATTTGGAGGGCTGCTCGATCTGTTTGTGCGCAATAGAACACTTCGGCGATTCCAGCTGGACATATTGTGAGGATGAAGCTCCCGACCGTAGGTCAGAAATTGTCTAGAAATTTCGTAAGAGGGGTTCCCTGACTTCTTAGCCTTCGATCAGTGACCACTTAGGAGTCCTGACCTAAATCCCATGGATGTCTCATTGTGGTCGGCCTTTGAGGTGGAATCATCCGTTAGCCCAAATAAGAAATGGAGTAATCTCGAAAATGCTTTGCAAAAATCCGTGATCAACTCGGTGACCTTAGCTGCGTGCCACCGTCCATGTCGTCCATCGTCGTCTCTGGGGTTGGGTGAAAACAGAAAGCAACAAATCCCAGTTTCAATGTACTATTCTGATGAGAGATCAGTGTTGAACACTTTTCTGGAATTAGCTTGCTTTATTAGCTTTCCATTCGTTTTCGGGGGTGTGATGACTGTGTAATCGTAATTTTGGCCCACCTGTACATATAAACAGAAGCAAATCTTGCCTTTGCTTCAGAACAGAGTGCTTTGGAATTATAATGCTCCCATTCATCTCCTACTTGTATTAGGTATTCTTTGATTTCTATAGCCGCTCCATCTAGCCCTCGTTGCAGGTGTTGCCATCCACCGAATCCACAATTTTCCTTTATGAAGAACTAGTGACGATAAGAATGTCATGTAACGACCCATTATGGTTGCCTAGTAATAGCATGACCCCAAAGTGGACCTGTGGAAGTAGTGTAGATTCGTATAGATTCTTATGTATGTATGTATTCTACATACGTGTGTGGGTAGTCCATGTCGTCGCCGATTGGTAGACTACCTCCGGGATCCAAAGACTGTATCGACTGTATGACACACTGTTGAGTTTTAAGGAGTTGTAAAGGCTACATCATCCATGTACACTCATGTAGGGACTTCCAACAACGTTCCATGACCTACGGCGACAGTGAAATGCAGTTCTGAACTATTTTGGCTCAATATAGTCAGTATTTGAGCAGTTACAACATTTGAAATCTCGTCCGAATACCTACCATTTCGGTCATGGTGATCTCGTAGAACCCCTACTCAAACTATAGTACTTGGGGAACTATTTTTCGCGATTTCAGCGGATTTTCTCGCATTCTTGACCATTGATGTACCATTCTACACCAACACTTCCGCTTTTCAACTCAAAAGGGTACTTTAAAACTGTCGTGAACTGTATATTGACTTTGGGCCGGAGAGAAGCCCGATTTCTCTAAATTCGTTGTAGAGGCCATGAATGAGTATAACTACGCCAGTGAGACCCGATCACAATTTCGCAGATTGAAAAACAGGCTGTGTGTCACTGTAGAAACGTAAGTGGTGAATTTAGTCCATTGTTCAATCGCACAGACAGCCTCCGCATCATTTATTTGTGTGCTTGCTTGCTTGCGTGTTTATTCAAGGAATAGGCCTCCTTACATGATGCTACCCTGTTTCAGTCCTTGTAAGTGTTTTCACGTACTGTTAAACGACTAAAACATTCTCTTCTATTGTAAGCGGCATACCAGCTGTCGAAGTTACCCAGAAGGGACTGGAAACATAGCGGTTTTTTCCTTATGCGATCAGCTGTCGGCCTCTACCAGTTGTTTTTTTTTTCTCCTCCATTATTTCATTATATACGACCCAGTCAGGTCCAACATCACCCGTTGGAATAGCAAGCTCCAACTGGTACTACGAGACAGCTCCTACTATGTATGTAGCCCATTGTCAGCACTAATCAATTTTTATGAATTTCTCAAATTCTGACCGGATTCATTTACAATTTCGTCATACTTCAAAACACCTACCTACCACCTACCGAAATGCCTTGCTGCGTGAGTGACAAAGGACATGAACAATGCGGTGGCCTACACCTTCTCCGCTCAGTTCCTGTCTTCAACCATTTACTACACGTCATATCCCCCTTATCAAGCACAAGTATCAGGGTTTTTGACTCGAAGGACGTAGTTTGAGCTGTTCATCTTGCTTCCTGATACTTCTTATCAGCTTCTATCATTTATTAATACATCCATCCGTAGCATAACTGTTTCTGCACACCCGCCACTCTCCATGTGGAATTGAACCTTGTAGGTCTAAGGGAATAGATGTAATGAACTTGTGGGTCAAACAACGGCGTACATACAGACCGATACATCAAAAGACGCACCAAGCGAATCACATGCAGCACGATACCTAATGAAATTTGTTTTCGGGAAGCACTGTCCTTTGCTGGGCAACTTTTCCTTCCAACAGCACTTACGTGTCGCGCAGTTGAGACAAAGGCCTTTCCGCTTTCTTACCAACTTTTCACAGCGTATTCTCAAGTAAAAATTTAATTGGCAGTGGCAGTGAAAACACATTTTCGTCCAGCACAGAATACATCAGAACTTCTTTGTATGCAAGCAGCAATGAATCAATGTGAACGCAGTTTCCCATTTGAAAAGTTGATGCTGCAATTTAAGAGGAGGCAACATCGTGTTCAATGCGTCTATCGGAGGATACAAATCGCCACCGGTGAGTACTGTATCCACAGTGAATTGTATCGCACTTTCACTCTTCTTTGTTCATGTTCCCGTTTTCTTTGATTTTTTTGTGAACGTATCTAGACTTCTGAAATTTTGGGTGCAAGGGAAGTGCACGTCAGAAAATCCTTGTCTGAGATCAGTATAAAGCTGTGTCTTAGGGAATCGCTGCTTATGGTGTGACGAAAACTGCCTTACTCGGCTTGACAAAGGCGTTAGCAAATGGCTTGGCGAAGGATAACATCCGTGTAAACGCAATCGCTCCCGGTGTCATAAAGACAAAAATGAGTGAAGCGGTAAGCTCCAATCACCTTTATTTCTATTTTTTGGAACGCCCTTGCTGAGTTCTAGTGCCGCCACTTCACCGATTACCCTAAAATTCCATAGATAAGAGCGGGTGAGCCTACCGGTGAAAAATAAATTGGAAAAAATCGAAATTGAATGCAGTCACCCCTCTAACTTGATGGATGGGTAAATTAAACCTCGAGGAAGAAGTTAAGAAGAAGCTCCGCCCCACAACTCTAAACCCCGCCCACTTAATAAACAATTCATATAAAAAAACAGCGATCCGTAAAAATCGCTGTTTTTCTATATGAATTGATTATTAAGTGGGCGGGGTTTTGAGTTGG